AAACTCTCGAGCTACGGTTAGGTGCTAAAACACAAAAGTCGGTCGCAGACTGGACTGAAGTGCTTTTCTCAATGCCACATCGCATTCAACGAGTCGTTGTGTTTGATGACCTGCTCCGTGTTCAAAATCCCGCAGATGGACTCCTGTCGATTTAACAAATTTGTCTACAACTTAAGCAGTTAGCCACAACACACCTGGTTTTGCAACTGAATCACAACGCTGCTTTCGAAACAAACGCGTGTTGTTGACGAGGTGACAGTTGAGTCGACATCGGCATATCGTCGTCCCACAATCCCTCAACCATATTTCCCGGCTTCTGTGGGCTACAACGCAGAACTGGACGGATGCTGACTGCTGCAACAACCCAACCAACCCACCTGACGCCACAGTCCACCCACATTCACCAACCAGTGTCTCGTGCTAAACGCAGTCTTGACACGGTCGAGGGTGCGGTGTCATTCACACAGCACATCGCAGTCGTAAATGCCAGTGGGGTACCATTGATTATTGAAGCGTTTGCATTAGTTATTCACGGTGGTGTCATAAAGGCGTCATTTGTACTAACACAGAGTGTCCCTTAAAGTCCTCATTTCGGATTAACTCAAGCTGCCCCTACACACTGATTTGGCACTGCGGTGTGAATAATAAATGTGTGGAATGGCACTGGTGTGTTTGTGAGTGCGTGAGTGTGTGAATGGGTGGGTGGATGTGATATACCCTAACTGCTGCCTTCACAACTGACAGGGTGGTGGTGGTGGTGTCAGTGGTGGAGGCTGAAGCAGACTGTGGGTTGTTCGGCTCACCTTATCTCCCATCGCCGTGTCGGTGAACGAACGGAAAACAAATCAGACGGACGCGCACACACACACGCACGCACACAATCTGCTTGACTGACAGACCCCGTCGAAACCGCGTCGAACTCGCTGAAGCCGCGTGAATGACGCATTTCCATAGACGAGATTGGCATTCATCCGGGACCGTTCAATCCGCTTCTTGCGTTCCCACGGTGTTCAGAAACGACAGCTTGGACAGTGAGAGATCAAATGTTACCTCGTTGAAATCGAAGACCTGGTCGTCCAGAGCACCACCCCTAGCACATTTTAACGATATCTCATGCCCACAACGACGCGTCAGACGCAAGCCAATCTGGCAGCAGCAATACACACCGTTTGGCGTAAAACTTTTCTTCACATGTTAGCCTGATTGGCGTGTGATTTGTGCACAACACGTGTGCTGCAAGGGATGTCCAGTTGACTACGATAACAACATCGACGCATGGCGTGGACGTCCACACTCGTCGATTCTCCATGCCTCGTCTTCAGCCAATGGCAGTGGGTGCGTGGGGTGTGGGAATGTGACTGCAAATTGGCCCGATTCTCAGCATGGGAACACGTGTTGCTCCCTCTTAATGCTGTGTGCTGAAGTGCATTAGACATGCTCTCATGCTAACGCATTCTCCCTGGATGTAATAACAACGTGCTTTACCTATGGGTTCCGTTCCGTGGCTAATTACAACAGTCGAATTCGAGAAAGCCCTGAAAAACTCAGACATTTCGGCTGCAGATTCCAGTCATCTCTCACGCCTCATTGCTCCCACATCGCCTGTGCTCGTCGATCAAGCAGATATCAGATTATCATGAATCTGTCATCGCCTTATTTTAACAAAAATCGATTTCTGTCTTGTTGTTTGAGCGAACAACCAAGCGTGGATGTGCTTAGGTAGAGTCAAAATGCATGCATTTTCTCATTGGTTGGCTGGTGCGTGGCATTGTAGATGGCACAATCGAGGCCAAACCAGCCTCCTCCTACTTCGCCAACGACGCCGACGTGGACATCGCGAAGGTGGCCGTGGCGCGCGCCGTGGACGACCAGCTCTCGCGACTCAAGGACCTGCTCGACGAGTACTTCGCCGAGACCGCGTCCACCGCGAGTCTCAGCAAACGCGCGGTTCGACTCCTGAGGCTGGGCAAATGAGCGCTGATTGGTTATTTTGCACTTTCAACTCACTGCTCCTGATTACATTGTTGCAATTTAATATAATTTCGAAAAATGCGCGCCTTGTTCTTATTGGTTGGTTCTGGAAGTTGATATCTGGCGGTCAACGAAATCGGAACCTTTCTCACATTTATAGCCATATTAACTAGGGTCCTTGAATTCAACTAAATTATGATTAGGCAAATTAATTTTTTTCAGTGTTTAGTGAAGAATAATGGAAATGTTCCTCTCTAAAACTTTCTCACACTTGAATGCACACTAGAATTTTCAAAGTTTTTTTCAGTGCGATAACTACGACACAGTGGCAATCTTTGTTAAAATTTGTGAGCATGCGCGAATCTGAAACATCTGCGACATCAGGCACAAAAAATATGCCACGAATGGATGGGCAAGAGGCAGGCGGGCAAACTCCAGATTCAAATGTCGTTAGTTGTGTTAAGAGTTGAGCTCGTCCATGCGTGTGAATGTCCACTGAAGCACGTACAGCAACAATTTAACGTTTTTGTTACAAGTTCAGGGATGAACAAAGGGAGCTTTCTCTGTGGAACCTCGCTGACCAATCAGATTGCTCTGGAAGTGTTCTCGAAGGCCGTTGTGCTGGGATATGGGTGGTTTTTTGGATGATCTCCTTTAACCGTCTGATTGCTTTTGAGAGTTATAAGGGAATCTGGTCTAGTTCATGCTGAACCCCCATTTCACGATAATGTTGACACTGCAGTAATATTGGCAGATGAGCATTGTGCTGAGCGTCAATAAATTTGTTTTAATTCTTAGCAACGTGAAGTGTGACTAGGATGACCTTCAAGCTACAAATTTAAAAAAACAGCCTAGTGATATTGATTTCGGCACGATCAACTCACATAACGACGGCAGATAATTGAGCGGTCGATAATTGGGAATTAGTGCATATTTTTTGCGAGCACTCAATGCACAGCCAACGAGAGTCACTTTCGTGTGACCTTGAATACGTTGGTGTTACGATCTTCCGGCACGATTTGTCAGACCCCTAAGTCCCGTGGTTACCCACTCTGGCAACGAATATTGTAGTGGATTGTGGTCTAAGCACTACCTTACAACCCTCTGGTTAACAGCCCGTGCAAACTCGATAATAGGGAAGAGAGGAGGCGCCAAGTGGCTTTGTGTGCGTGTGAGGCGAAGACTGACGGAGGCCAATAACAAAAGGCGGTGAGTCATTGGTCCACTCGGGCCCTCATACACTCACCACTCACGCGAGGTGGCTGTCCGTCCACCACAAATATTCCCACCCCCGATGGTGTTAGCTGTGAACAGTTAACGCTCGACAATTACTGAACTGAATCAGCAAAGCCGACAACGGGTCTCAGGGGTGAGTCGGATCTTTTCTTGGGTTGATTTGGTTAGCGGAAACGGGAAGTGGGGCGCTGTCGTTGTTGAGGCTGTCTAGTTGCTACGCCAGAGGAGATGGTTAGACTTTCCACTCCGTGGATGAGGCATTCGTGGATATTATCAGCCATTTCTGTAAGCTTATTCAAATGTACGCTAGAGCTTTGGAACGTGGTAATTGTGTCCATGTGTGCCAAGAAAGTTTTAATCCACATTTGGCGTAGAACGGATTTATTAACCTTGTAGCGGATTAACAGCGATCGCGCCTGTGTGAACCCTGGTTACCGACCTGGTTACCGGCAATGACTCATCTCCTTTTCATTGGTTGCTGTTACCAAATCCCTGTCATCCGTTCACACATCCACACACTAAGACACACACTTGGCTGGCGTGACGCTAATAAACGGTCGTGTCCTCTGTCGCCGCCTTTTCCCCCTACCCTCTGGTAGCTACGGCCTGTTAACTAGAGGGTTGTAAGGTTGTGCTAGACCCTAGCCACTACAATATTGTGGAACAGACTCCAGATGCTTGTGTTAGTCTAGATTGATGGATTTCCATCCTGCATCAACTCGTTACTTTTGAATAACTCATCTGAATCGAGAATATTAGACTTTGACTTAAATAATATTTAGTGCTTAATTACCAAACAAAACTAAAATTGAGAAGAAAAGTAACCTGAACAAATTAGAAATTCACAGCTTAATAGCAAGTCTTCGAACATGACATCCTGAAAATATTTAGCTTCATCAAATTTTCTGCGAAATTTGTCGATTTATTTAATATAATTGTGTTGACGTTTAAAACGAAACGGTTAGACATGCTAATCAGCTGGATGGCATTATGTGAACTTAACAACGTAGTAGGTGAAATAACGACTAACAACAAGGCAGAATCGCGTTTTACAAAAAACCGAGACAGCTCCACATGGTAGGCCATTGTGTTTTTTTTTCAATAGAAAGCATTAAAACCATTTGCTTTGCGCAGAAAAGTATTAAGGGAAATAAAATTTTTTTTCAGATTCACATAAGACGTAAACAAAAATATATTTGGAGGGGCGAATTTACATTATTCTTCACTACACACTGAAAAAAATTAATTTGCCTAATCATAATTTAGTTGAATTCAAGGACCCTAGTTAATATGGCTATAAATGTGAGAA